ACAGTATATATAAACATAACTATACTGCTATACTATTATTGTCGTCTTATGTTCAATATCTTAATGATTTCTTCCTTGTTTGACATTTTTTCCACTTTCAAACGGATCATCATTCAGTGTGTGGTACTGTTGTCGTCACACAATACATTCTGTCATGTTGCGCACATTAATAAAAACTTTTGTATAAATGCTACTGGTTCGTCACCGCCAGAGCGACCTGCACTGAAGCTTTGATAATCAAAAGTGACGTTTTTGGGGGGGGAAGTCCGATTGAGCAAAGTTTTCACATCTCTGTGCTCCGATTTACTCTGTACCTGTATGACCATGTGACTGAGGTGCGTTAGTGAACATGTTTTTAGATTAGATTGTTTCGACTGTTGATTTGAAGCTCGAGTAGCGATAAAGATGATATATTATTGTAAAGATTTGAGTCATTGCATCCCTTCTTAGATGGAATTGTCTGGATTCTTCTGCTCCAAGAAGACTTCCGAGTTATAGTTCGGAAATTGACATTTAGCATAAAGCATTTGTGATATCGTTTATATATTGCGATTTATTTCTACCAGGTAGTAAGATATGTAAGAACAGAATACATGTGAAATGTAATATTGTGTTGGCTCATTGTCAAACTGAGCCTTCATACAATGTCTTAAGTTATTAAGTTAATTTTGCCTCTTTGTTGTTGTTCACCAGTTAAAAAGTGAACTCTGACCTTTAAAAAAACTAGTTAATATTCTGTTCTACAGATCAGTTTCACAGCTGCACAAACCTCACAGGAAGCCTGTTCACATCTGTATCTGCATATTCCTGCTGCTGGTTTTCCGTTTCCCACCCACAGTAAGTGTCATACATACATACAGTGTGTTATAAATCATTTACCAGGCAATGATGAGGCTGCAGCAACTTTATGTATAAAACATTTTAATTATATTACAATGAGAGAATACACAATACCTTCAAGTGTTTGCTAAAATGCAGCCAGCACTAGGTAGTCATGTACATACACTCGCACACAAAACAAAACAAAAAGGAACTTATTTAACATCTTCTGAATGCATATCACGCATCCGCTAAAAAGGAACATATTCACAGGTCTCTGGCACAGAACTCTCCCTACTCTGCACAGTACGTCGGCCCAAACTCGCCCTCCTCTACAGCCTCGAGGCTCCTGTGGGTTTAATAAGATGAACCACTATGAAGATGCAAAATAAGGAGAAAAGCCATAAAGCCCGGGGATCTGGAAAGCGGGATGCTGACCTAAAGCATACACGTAGTTAAAGCTACTTGTCTGGAATCGCATATCATTCAGCATGGAAGGGTTGAAAGTGACTATTTGGCAGGAATAACATTTCATGGAAGTCATTGTGTTGGTTTTTACATAAGCACCGTTAGTCAGCAGGCTTAGGATGGTGTCTTCTATGTTTCTGATTTCTTCTGAAACTTCTCTGCTGTGACCCTGCTCTCTGTGCAGACGGTCCTTCGGTCTGTGCTTCACCCGCGACTTCATCCCACCTTGTCTTTTCCTCTCTCCGTCTGCTGACCTCCCCATATATCACACTGTGCTTTTGTGCTCTTAGAAAAACCCCAACGCACCAAAGTAAATCTTTGTGCAACAGCAACACGGAAGCAAGTCTCAAATCTTGTCTGTGCTTGCTCTGACGATGACTTAAATTACACTCTAATCTCAATAGGACTTCAATGAAGACGTACTTGACGTGACTGTTTACCTTTTTCGGCAATGATGAAGAAGGCTGCAACATCTTCTCTCGCCTCTCCAAGGGCTTAAAAAACACGAGCAGCTGTTCCTGATTTAACAGTCTTCATACATTTCTACAATCTCTGCTTTTTTCGGACTTTTTCCAAGGCACGTCATCAAAAGATTTTCCATAAACACTATGCATCCAGCATTCAAACAAAATGTTGACGCGCCCAGTCATCTGCTCAAAGCCATTATAAGTGTGTGCTATGTACATTCTTTTCAATGAATAATTGTAATCTCATATGTGGCCCTCATCCCATTCGCTGTGTCACTTTTCTGCTGGGAGGTTCTGTGCAAGAGAATAACTTTATGCCATTATGGTTTGCTATGTTGTTCATTTGACCGTCAAACTGAAAAAGGACATTTCTGATACAGTCATGTACAAATCCTTTGACATTTAATGTAAACTCTTGATGAAAAATAGAAAACAGCTTTTCCAAAAAAAAGTTTGTTTTTCTTTTTTTTGTTTGTCCTCCTGCAGTGTATAGAGAGAGTGCAGATAGGAGGTCACCAAAAACAAATGCACCACAAAGTAAAAAAGCAAAACCACCTGCTTGTCTTTAACACCCTGCCCGCCCACCCTCCCTCCGAAAGCACAAGATGGTAATATTGCCGTGTCTCACGAGGTCCTCTGATCAATGGGTAAAACTACTTTTGGGACGGACCACTGGGAGCGCGGAGGATCACACCTTTAAGCTGCCATTGATTGGATTATTCTTTTATCGCTCCTATCCCAGTGACTCCATTTAAAACAAACACATAGTCAGCATACAATAATAGTAAAATGACGAACAAAACAAAAAAAAGAAAAGATCAACACGCTTCAAGCCCAGAAGTTTTGAACCCTGTTGGTGACCATTCGGGGCGACTGGAAGCTGCCATGGGAGTTTACCAGTGTGTGGTTTCTTTTACTTTTCTGTGGCAGATGATCGGGCGTCAAGAGGGTGGGGAGTGCCTGGACAGGGTGCACAACAACAACAGCGGCGGCTGCTCAGTAGAGACCAAAGGGGCTTTTTTTTAATGTATTTTATAATGAGGTCTTCTCTTCAAGTGCTCCATTGCTCATGGAAGTGTTTTGGCATGGTAAGGGTTGAAATCAAAGGTTTCAGCCCGCCAGAGAAGAAGAAGAAGAAGAAGAAGAGGGAGGATGCGATTAAGAGGAGGGGAGGGGAGTGTGACCTGAGTAGGGGCCGAGGGCGAGGAGGTGGGAGGAAGAGGAGGAGGAAGAGGAAGGGAGGTCATAGGCTCACCAAGGCACAGAATGACAGCAGGAGAGTCACCCAAGGGAGAGGGGCCAGTGTATCAGCTCCCCTGCCCCCACTCTCCCTTCAACAAGCCTGACCTCATGTCTGTCTGTCTCTCATATATATATTTATACTTATACATAGATAGATATACTCGCTGTTTTTGTCTTTTCAAGAGAACATTTAGGAAAATATAATACAAAATTTAATACAAGAAATATAGACTACACTGGCTAATATCACTTTAAGTGACGAATAGCTTCTTTTGTATGCAACTTTTTTGTGTTCTTGAGTCTTTTGTAGTTTTTTTGGTCAGACCTGCCATGGTGGACTGGCCCTTTTTTGATTTTTTTTTAAGTGTCGGGACGCCAAGCTCTAAAGACTGCCAGAGACTGAGGTCCTAATGATTATTAAATAGTCAGAGAGCAACAGAAGCGACTCCTCCGTCAATAGTGATTATTGCGTGTAAGTTAAAGACGAGTTAGAGAAGAAATGTCCTCTACGTTGGTCTTCAGCAGTGCCCAGAAGCTCCAGAAATAAGTAACAGATGGCAGAGAGAAAATATGATTGTTAGTCTCGATATAGAAATGAAAAGTTTAACTGAATGTGATTAGTTTGCTGAGTTAGCTAAAATGAACGCCTCTATAGAGTACAAATCATTAGAGCTGGTCCTTTTTTTTTTCTTTTTTCTTTTTTTTCTCCACATTTACAACTTTGACTTGCTAATCAGGACAAAAAAAAAACAACAACAAAAAATCCAGACACACACACGAACACTGCTTGAAAAAGTAACAAAGCTGTAGAGAAATGCAAATTCTGGGAGAACGCCTTGTGAGCCAAAAGAGGGATCCATTAGTGAAAAGGAAAAAGGAGAGCTGCCCCTTTTTCTGAAGGTCTGCCCTCCGAAAGCACTCACTGGCCCATCTACAGGGTGAGAAGGTAAAGGAAACCTCATGGTCCACCACAATCATTTTAAACACTCAGAGGAAGCACCCGCCTCTCGTATTTTTTGCTACATCAATTCGCTACTGAGAAAGAATCAGAAGATTTGAATCAATCTTTAAGGAAGAGAGTTTTTAGTTATGAGGCAACTCCTTTTTTTTTTTCAATTGACATAGTAGTCCATCCACACCATAGGGTGGTATAGTGTAGTGGTCAGTAGTGTGGAGTAGTGGTTAGGCAACCCAACCAGAGGGAGACGAGTGGGTTTGGACAGTAACTGTACATCTATATACTACATTCTTTCTTCTCTGCTACTCTGGAACTTTTTCACTTTGTCTTTGGCCAAAAATCGGCCACAGTTGGTAATGAAGGTCTGACTTTGTGTACAGAAGTAGCCGCTGAAAAAGTCCTGTTTTAGGTCACGCAGCTGCAGAAGCACATCCTAAAAAGTGGAACGATTTTCAAAAAATTGGTTTAATGTTTTGAGAAAAAAGCACATTTGCTTCCCTGCCAAGAGTTCGATGAGAAGACCGATACCACCACCAACTGTGAGCCTGCTAAATGTGAAGCTACAGGTCGGTTAGAACATCCAAGGCTGGAAACGGCAAAAGCGAATAAATATATTTCCCCAAATATCAAAATATTCCTGAAATCGTCCATTATTTTTAAGCAGTCAAATGTTTCGAGGAAAGTGCAGGACTTCTGCAATAGCTACTCCTGTAAATCGTATTGTGTAAAGGGAAGATACTGTCTGATGTAAAAGACTTCCAATGTTGCAAATATTGCAGAACAAGCAGAAGTGCTTTTACTTCGCAAACTTGGTGCTAAGCCTCGCCTGCGTATTGTTGCCTCGTGGAGAAGACATGAAGCTTATGTTTTGTTTTTGACCTCTCTTAAACTCCCTCGCTTGTTCTTTCTCTCTTGCAAACACACACACACAAACATGAACGCACACATCCGGATTAACAAGTCAAAGCTGTCCACCGCACTACAGAAGTCCCCATTAAAACCACAAACTCTGCTCTGCTCTCTATGAGCCTGCGGCAACACTAAGTAGGGGGTTGGGAGGACAGTGGGAGGGCAGGGCGTGTCTGGAGGGGCAGGTTCAGGCAGGATACAGTAGGGTGAGGTAGGGTCAGTGGTCAGGGGGGGAGGGGTCAGGAAGGCTTGAGTGGCATTTCAGCCCCATGGACTTCCTGGAGAGCCGGGGCCGGGAAAGGAGGAAGATGTTCAGGGTGTGCCACCGTTGTGGACCGGTCTGATGTGGGGAGCGGGCGGCGTCTGCGATTGCAAATGGTCGAGGAGGGGAAAGGTGAGGGGAAGGAAGCCTGGTCGAAGAAGCTGGTTGGGAGATGGATGGCCGCGCGCTGTCTAACAGTGGTGCGGCTGCAGTCTGTGGGAATGTGTGGCTGTGTAGCTGGTGTCGCTGGAGCTGCTCTGGAGGCTGTAGTGGTCCTCCTCCTCCTCCTCCTCACCGTCGCTGATGCTGTCCACGCTGTCCGCCTCTCCAGGAGTGAACTCCATGCCCTCGATGTCCACCTCTGCACGCAAAAAAAAAAGAGAGAAAATACGCTTTGGTTATTTTCGGCGCTGTTCACAAACAGAAGAAGTGAGGGGAAACTGTTTATTTCCACCCAACTGTGGGCATATTTATTAGGGAGCCTGCAGCGCCTGTGGATTAAACCCAGATTTAGGCAGCCGTTAAATCTCTGAGCAAACAGGCAGATCTTTGTGCTCCTGCAGCTAATCCCCGTCCATTGATAAACAACTGCATGTGTGTTTACCTCATCCAGGATTAACAAGCATACTCTAGCAGTCCAAACTAAGCATTTCAGGGGAGTCTGTGACACCGGTGAGCAGCAGACTGCACCTTTAAACTCGGGTTATGCTTGAATAGAACTAGATCATACCACATTGAGAGGAAAATGTGTTTCTAGCGGGTCTGTACGACCATTAAAGAGAGCGGTAACACGATGAATCATTTTAATATTGGGATGACGGCACACATTTTCAGTCTCTCCTAGAAGTCATTCATCGGGTTGCACCCGTTGTAAACATAAAGTGACCCCCCCCCCTTACCTCAGAGGGGAGCAGATTACCTTTTTATATTTTTGTCATTTCGGCGGATGAAACGTGACAAATTGGTTGAGCTCCTACAACCTGCACCATGACTCGATAGACCACATGTCAGAAAATGTGGCTCAGAGTTTACCAGTGGACAAGGTGATTGTCCAGATTTGGGACGAACAAGGTTTTATGGTGAGTTGATCCCTGTTGTAGTGCTGCTGGTTGACTTTTCAAAGCCAGCGTACCTTGCTCAGAGTCGGTGGAGACGGTGGAGCCCAGGCTGTCGGTGCGGATGCGCTCAACGGATCCGGACACGGAAAGCTGCTCCAGGCGGCGTTTGAGGTAGCGGTGCTCTCTCTGAAGATGCTCCTTCGTGGTTAAAGCCTTCTTGTCCTGCTCCTCCAGCTTCTGCAGAGCCCCATAAATGCCAAGAATCAATGATAATGCTCACTGGGCGCAAACATCTCCATCTTTTACTCTCTTTTTTTACTGTATACCCGGTAAACTTTTTTTTTTTTTTTTGTTGCACCATTCAAATAATTCCTGAAAGGTCACTGCAGGAAATTTCTTTTCGGGACCATTTTTTTTCTTTCCCTCGTAATACGGTTTGCGGTACCTTGCAATGGGAAAACTTATTGTGAAGGAACACAAAAGTAGTAGACAAAGAAATGTGACTGTGACCTTTCGTGTATGTATGTCTATGATGACAGGCATTATAATAACTATTTAAAAAATAGCCAATGTTCTCGCTGGTGGTCTCAATTACTTATGTAGGCCATTCTGTTGCTAAGGCAAACGCTTCAGTAGAAGATAACTTCCGATTGTGATCGCCGTATTATTTGCCGTATATTTATTCTTGATATTGGATACAGTGTGTGTTTGCAAGAATATGGATTCATGCCATATCATGCAGAGGCTGTAACTGCTGTTATGACGCTTATGAAACCAGTGTTTTCTGTCTCTCTGCCAAACTTTCAAAGGAGAGAATTTAACAACAACAATCAGCAAGTGGCTTTATGACTGCGTGAGGTTAGAAAGTCAACATAAACTCTTGTAAAAGTTTTACTCGACCCGGGATTAGATTTTGCACTAGTTTGCATGTGAAAGTTGATTACACGCAGCACCTTGTGTTACGGGAAGACGCAACACTGCCGAGAATCATCGCAGATCGTCTGAGCAGAGAGGACGTGCACGGTAAACAGGAAATGAAGGGTTAAAACTCGCCACGTCTGGATTTTTCTACCAACCACAGTGTTTGCTGCTTGTAAACAGCAAGATCAGTAGAGCGTGTCCTAAACTGTACTTAGATGCACAGTTCATCCTCTGCATGGCAATGGTAAGAATCAAACCATATTCTGCCAGCACTGGTGTATTTTTAAGACCTCCTGCTGCAGACTGTTCTTCAAGCATCTTGCGTGCAACAGTTAAATGAACTGTGGAGGAGGGGCTGTCCTTAAACAAATCAACATCCAGTTATGTCCTTTCACATATCTAAAGATCAGCCACCAAATGTCCCGTATAATCCACTTTGATGACTAATCAGTTTTCCTTTTAGTCATGGGAGCATTTTTTATTTACTTACAGTCTCTGAGCTGCTCTGATGGAAAGATTAGAAAAACAATATAACACTTAAAGAGTGCGGGGGAGGAAAACCAAACCCAAAGCTCAATTTACTGTGATAAAAACACACGGTGGAACCAGCAAACAGCCTTTTTTAGCTCGACAAATACCAAACCGTTGTCAAAGTTTTTGTCAATTATCTGTCGAAAGAAGGCTAAATGATTCATTATTTTTGTTTTTATTCTTTTTTTTTAATACCTTGATGTGCATCCTGGCCCTTTTCAGCAAGCTCAGTGTGGTGTGTCTCGTGCTGTCTGGACCCAAAGGCACCAACTTCTTCAACTGCTCCAAGTACAGCCGAAGTTTGGCACGTCTGCAAACAACACAAGCACAGGGTGAGTCAGCAGACATCCACCGGCAGGAAAGTGAGTGGGCAGCTACTACACCAACACTCTGACAAAGCATTTAAGTCCCTGAAGGGCAGAAACAGATACTGTTCCTCCCGTACTGTGACTGTCGTGTTCTTCTCCTGTGCTGGGAAACGCACCAAAGCAACGACTTGAATACTACACGGTCGGTTTCGGTTGTGACTTTGGGATTGACCGCGTGACGTTGCACGTTCAAACGGCTGAAGGGAGCGCAGAGTCTCGCCCGTTACACATGTTCAAAGCTTGCAGAGGCTCAAAGTAACCAGTTTGAATCCCCGAGAGGACATCCTCCCAGCATGAGAAAGGAAATGTCACATAATGTTATACTTACAAAACACTTTTTTTCATTTCATATCACGCAGACAGTTCATGCAACTGCCTTAACATTTACCTCTTTCCTCATCAACAAGAGCTGTTTTTCGCAAGACACCCACACGTGACACATATTCAAAGAGCCAAACGGGGCCTCAGCTGAGAGACTTTCCTGTTTTTAGAAAATGTGTATTATACTTATCGAACCCTGTTGGCTTTTGCCTGCCTGTGTGACTAAATTTGGTCGCTTCAGTGTGGTGGTGTATTCACGAAAACAATCTCGCCTTGCACTCACTGATACTGATGTTTTTGCAGAATGTTTTTGTCCTCAGTGCAACAAACTGACCTCAATATAACTGCACACCGTCTAGTGATGCATCACCTTTGTCCACCTATGCTTCGTATGGATCCACCAAATGGACAACCTGCTGAACCCTAGAGCTGCGGGAAGAGACCTTAGAGCCACAGTCACCGAGGGCAAAAAAAAAAAATCATTATTGACCAAAGTGACGGCCATGAGAAGTATCTCATCTGTTCTGATCGCTCTGTCGGTTGAACTCAAGACACAAACCGTGGCCCCGGAAAACCCTGCATCCCTGCCAAAGCCCTTCAGGCCAACAACCCTGGATCCACGAGTAAACAGCTCACTGGATGCAGCAGTTTGGATGTTTAATTCAGCGTTATTGACGACAAGGCCGAGTTAATGTCTGTGTGGACATTGACTGACTTTGTGAGGATATTGTATATATATATTTTTTTTTTTTTTTTAAATCAGCAGATTACCTCCCATGTCTGTCCTTGGTTCATTCAAATTTTCCTCATGAAGGCCTTTCAATCCTCCATTAGTCATGCTAGTCCATGAACCGTTTCTTTGTTCTGATCTAGCCTTCCCCCCTTTTCTCTCGTTCCTTTGGCTAACTCTGTCCGAACGGTAAACAAACTCCAACAATGCAAGGTCTCCACTGGCCAATACTGCGACCAATAAACCTAATCAGAGAAATGAAGCTCTCTCGGGCTGGCTGCAGAGCCGAGCACACAGGAGAACACACTCTCTACACACACACACACACACACACACACACACACACACACACACACACACACACATAGTCTTTCCCCTGTTTTTTTTCAGGAAGGGCGTCGCCTGTGTTTTTCACATAAAATAAGACCTTTTTACTAGTGTCGTAATTTCATTGAGAGGTCAGCCAGAGGTGACCTGTGGGCTACAAGAGAGTCTTGGGGGCTAAACAAAATAATCCAAAATCATGAATGATAGTTGCATCCGTTTGTTTTTTTTGGGATTGTAGCTACAAAAAAGCACCTGATTTAAATATATTAAAAAAGGATTAGCAAAGTGCCCTTGAAACCATCTCTACCTCTCTACAGGTGCATACAGGCGTTCCCCAGAAAAAGGGCGTGTGAAAGTGCTCTCGTTCTTTTATTTCCTTTACTCCCAGGGGGCGCCCCCCCCCCTCCATCCCCTGAACCCCTCCACTCCACCCTGCGCCAACACCAACAACACACCCTCATCCCACTGGAAAACAAGTGTCTTCTGAGGACATGGGGCAGGGGCCCAGCCTCCAACCTGCCCCAGTCGAGCCACATGAAGCAGTTGGACTGCGGCCAGGGGAAGCGGGCAGGAAGGAGCTGGGGGTCTGCAGCAGAGGGGAGGGGGGGTGTTTTTTTGGAAGGGAGCGGGATCCGAGCTAGTGAGTGACTTTCTCTTGGGTAAAAAAAAAAAAAAGGGGGCTCTTTGAGTGCAGTGTGCTCAGCTGCACCAGGCAGCGCTCCACACACATCATCCAGCGGGTAACTTGAGCCAACGGGCCACCAGCTTGCCCCCCCCCCCCCTCTCTAGCAATGAAAAACAAAAACAAGGCGTTCCCTGAATGCTCTGCCTGACTACTACCCACCTCCCCCCAAAGAAAACCTATTTTTACTGAAAAAAAAAAATGTATCACAGGCCCCACCTGTAGGCTCGCAACATATTTTACCTGGCATGCAGATGTAAGGAATGTGCACAGATGCACTTTCACCACCTGAATGTGTGGAGATGTGTCTGGGCTGACATGACCAATCAAACTTGGAACTATTCAAACTATTTCTTTAAAAGGTGCAATAATGAGAATGTATTTACAGGTCTGACTAGTTGCCCTATGTTCTGTTCCTGATGCATATCAATAAGACGGGACCTGGGTTAACCTGGCAGTGTGTCCCTGACAGCTCCTACCCAGATGCATATGTTCCCCTGCCACGAGACACACTTGCTGTTTTTCTTGCTTGTTGGTGGGGACGCTCCCTCGCTCACGTTTGTTATTCCTAAACCAAGCCCCGGTCACGCTATGTTTATCAGAACAGCCACGCAAAGTGTGGCATAAGATGAACGTGAATGTTGTGTCGGTGAAGGAGAGCTGACATTTTGCACAGCCTGGCTCAATCAAATTTTCCAGTTTGTCTGGCTTGAAAATAGTGCGGCCTTTGATGTATTCAGTCATGAAGAGTGTCACAATGTGAGACTGTTGATGTGGTGTCATATGAGAGTTTGTACTTGTGTGTGTCAACGAGTTCAAACATTGTGTGAAAGTCACGGTTTCTATGTCCGATGGACACAATATTCATGGGATGTTTTTTAAATTAAAACACTCTCATTTGGAAGTGTTTTTAAAGCAAAAAAAACAACAACAATACTGAATATAATACTGAAAATAATACGTTATTACGGTGTAACAGAAGCATTGTAGCTCTTAAAGGTTTTCGTGACTTTGCTGAAAATGAAAATTGCAAAAACATCCTGCAGCTGGAGATTTATTAGTAAGTCACGTCTGCAGGGAAATGACCACCTGACCGTTCTCACGTGTAGATAACCACGGGATGGTTTCTGTCTGATCTCTGACCTTCCCTCTCCCTCCTCTTCCCTCCCCATCCAGAGGCTCAGTGCCAAAACAAAGCAAAGGCAGAGGAGAAGAAGAAAAAAAAAAAAAAGGAGCGTTTGCTCAGAAAGCTGCGCGCTGCTAAAAACTGGAACGAGCTATTTAAACAGTTTACCGAATATTGACCATGCTTTTCTCACAGATCTGTTCGCGCTATGCTCCCTTTTTTGCTGCTGAAGTAAAAGGGAGCAGTGTATCTGCAGCAGCCTGTTTTTATGTCTGATGGATGCATTATGAAGGATATTTATGTGTGCTGCACCACAGAAAGGAAGTGACCCTGACCGGTTTTCACACTGTCCACATACAGATATCCTGCTTCTCAGACACAGTCCTGGTGACAGCGGTGTCCAGGGCTCTGGGACTGGAGGTCTGTACATTAGGGTACATTAGCTGCAGGGCTTGAGAAGGCACACCAGTGCAAACAACGGGCCTTCACCCCTCACTCACTGCACTGTTTAATGAACTCGCTGCGGCCCAGCGCATTCCTCTAACCCATACGCACAGGACCGAGTGGCTTGCCTGGCAAGGAGCCAAACCCCACTAAGCTAAGGTCAGAGGTCATCAGGAACACCACTGCAATGTTTCCTCTCACTGCCAGAGCTGACTCGGTTTGTTCCCTGTTGGGTTTAAAGAAAAGAAAATGCGATACCGGGCCTCTGGTGTTGTTTTGACTTGAGCCCACAAGACACCAGCATGAAGAATTTCCTGCTTTGTCGGCTTATCTTGTCCGCGCAATAATGCAATCATTTGGTCTCAAAATGCAATGTGTGCATTTGGAGGGTTTGTCGTTTGACATCTCCAACATAACGTGGATCTAAACGGTGTTTTCAAAGGCTTTAAGAATGAATTAATATCATTACAATTCATTCTTATAGTTTTGGCCATCTCTCTTTTCAGTAATACAAATATGGAGACACATCATTACTAAAGAAGAAGTCTGATCTACTGTACGCCATGGTGTGCAGTTTTCCTTTAATCAGGGATTATTACCAACATTTTGGGTGTGCTACCTTTAACCTTAAGATACAAAGTAGGCTCTGTTATGTGAAGGGACACGTGGGGCAGCGTTGCGTGAGTAAGGATCACTACTGTTGCCGTGGTGGAATTTGGGGGTGCCAGTGAAGTGGCTGCACATCTAGCTGGCAGGTTCCTGGGGAGTATGAGGTCAGATGGAGGGATTGTTGAGGTGATGAGGGACCCTACTCAAGGTCTCGGCCGACAAACACCCGTCATCCGTCTCCCCTGTCACCGTACAGCTCTGCCCGGAACACGACTACATTTAAAAGAGATCAGACTCTTTAACAAAGCAGCCAGTGGATTCGCCACTCTGCCCACGTCAGCGAGAAGAGAGACACGCAGGGAGACACGAGAGGCTTTCATCACCCTGATGTGAAATGTCAGTCGTCCGGGTCGAGCTGTATTTGTTTTCTGTCATGGAGGATGCCACACCCGCCAACTGTGTGCAGTGACAACTGCAGGGAGACACAGACGGATACAAGTCCCCCGTAAACACATTTCTCCTGGTGGCAGGAACCTGGAGCTCGCTCTCACATGACTCTGCTCTCGCACGCAAGCAGCAAACAGAAACTCGAACGCACCACAACAGCAGCGCAGACGGAGGGAGGGGCCTGATTGCTCCACTACTTGTGGAGCATTGCTCTGAAGAAAAAGAGCTCAGCATGCTTTACTGGTGATTAAACAAC